TGGTCAGCAAACAATGTATGAGTTATAGGAAATTCGAAATGGCACAGCATACTTGGCAGAAATCCAACGAACTTCCTGTAAATTAAGGAAAGTCTGTAGATGTTCAGTGAACTTCATAGAAATTGATGGATCTTCCCTGAAGTAAGCGGAACTTCATAAAAAATTCTGGAAATTTTATTGAGGCTTAGGGAACATCGGAAAAGCTCAATGGATTGTCAAAACAGCTTTGTTTGAGTTCATTCATGGACCTGAGTTTTAGTTCAAGAAACTTTGTAGAAGCACAGGAAACTTCGTAGAAGTACACGAATCTTAGAGGACTGCGGTGACATTACCTCCGGCAGATTGATGAAAATCACTAATGTTAAACCTGGTGACCACAGCGAGTTCCAGCAGTAGCAAGCCCCAAGGGGAGCATCAAGTACTCCAAGGAGAGCTAGGTCTTGTGTTAAACCAGATGTTCACACCGAAATCCAGCAGTACTACAACCCAAAAAGGTCTGCAGCTTGGAAAGGCCAAAATGATGGTATTCAAGAGGTAGATCAAAAAACTCCATGACTTCGTCAAGGATAAGAGCAACGTCCACAAGGCAATAAAGAAAATGGTGATGTGTATCAAATCCGCTATGATTGCTGCCGAAAGGACAATGATCGAGGCCAAGGAGAAAGCAACGACTAAAGAACAGAAGACGCCGAAGGGACTCTGAAATCCACGCTCGGAGAAGAGGAAAAGGGAAACGCCAGGAGAGGAAGAGGAGTTGAAAAAACCCTAGAACAACACAGAATAAAATCCTTTGGAAATTTTTCAAGTCTTCAGGATGATCAAGTTATTATTCTAAAGACCTTCAACTGTTGTCTCTTAGATATTTTTTTTCAAGACGACAGGTTGATCAGAAAGTATTTAAAAGATAAACAGCTGATCAAACATTTCAATAAAGTCGTCTGGATATTCGAGACTTCAGGTTGTTTACACATTATTATGAAGATCAGCAACTGTACACAAATAGATCCAAAATGGCAGATTGATCGGGAAGCATATTTCATTAAAAAGCTCATAAGCTGTGAAAATTTCAACCTGGACACTTAAACATGAACAAAAATCCTTAAACAACAACATTTTTACAAATTTTTGAACTTTTCGTGTATTTTTTTTTGAAATTTTGTACAAAAACTGCATTTATTGGACTTTTAAAATCTTTTTTGTACAAAATTTCACAAAAACCAATTTTATACAAAAAGTTTGACCAAATTTGTTGTTTAAGGATTTTTGTGTCCAGCTTGAAACGTTCACACCTTTTTTTACTTTTTAATGAATAATAATTAAAAGAATACTCAAGACGGTCTAAAAGGGATTTAAACACTCCGAATACTGTGGGCAAAATACTTTACACCGACTACGAAGCCTCCGAGAAACGTGTAACGGCAAGTTTGCAATGGCATAACTTTGCCATTTCTTGATGAATTTAAAAAAAAAAATGTGGCACCTCAATAACTCCTAGGGTCTGTAGATTATTTTGTTCGTGAAACTAGAATCGTCTAACTTTTTTTTAGCAAGAGTCGTTACACTTTTTTAAAGGTGTGTTTATGGGTTTTGCTTAAGATCCATAATTTAGATTAATGGACACAAATGTTCATAATTAGCCAGAATAAAGTCATGGTTCCTTTGTATGGAACCTGGAGACAACGGAACGGTCCTCGAAAGATCTGGAACATCAGTAAAAGTGCTCAATCTAGGAAACTGATCCTAGAGCTCCGCGGTTTTTTTTTCGAAAACACTTGGAACTGTCATATATAAATTAATTTGGGGTCATGACATAACCATGTACCTAGGAGGCCATGGGACCGTCCTCCAGAAGATCTGGAACATCCATAAATGGTCAATCCATGAACCTGATCCTAACTCCGCGGTTTTTTCGAAAACATTAGGAACTGTGATATAAGTAATAATTTGGGGTCGTGACATAAACATGGACCCGAATGACCATAGTAACGTCTTCCGGAAGATCCGTAAAAGTGGTCCATCGATGATGCTGATTCTAGAGCTTCGCGGTTTTCTCGAAAACACTTCAAACTGCGATATATGAAAGAAGTTGGAGTCGTGATACAAACATGATTGTTGATGGCCATTGGACCGTCATCCGGAAGATCCGGAAGATCCGAAACATCCGTAAAAGTGGCGCATACATGAAACTGTGAAAAAACCGTGATTTTTTTTCGAAAACTATGGAACAGTGATATAAGATAGAATTTAGGGTCGTGACATGAACATGGACCATGGATGGTCATGGGACTTTTCTCCAAATGATCCCGAACATCCGTAAATTGGTCAATCTGTGAAACTGATCCTAGAGCTCAGCAGTTATTTTTTAAACACAGAAAGAATTTTGGGTTGTTACGTAAAAATTAATCCTGATGGGCATGGGACATTCCGGGTCCATGTTTATGTCTCGACCCCAAATTCATTCTTATAACACAGTTCCTTATAGTTTTTAAATAAACTACGAAGCTCTATGTTCAGTTTTATGGATTTACCACTTTTAAGGATGTTCCAGATCTTCCAGAGAACGGTCACATGGCCATCCACGTTTTTTTATTTTTTTGTCTTATATCACAGTTCCAAGAGATTAATAAAAAAAAAACGATGAGCTCTAGAATCAGTTGCATGGATGAACCAATTTTACGGATGCTCTGAATCTTCCGGAGGATGGTTCCATAGCCATCCGGAACCATGTTTATGCCACGACCCAAATTTATTTCTTATATCAAAGTTCCTACTGTTTTCGAGAAAATCGCGGAACTCTAGGATCAGTTTCATGGATGAACCACTTTTACGGATGTTCCGGATCTTTCGGAGGATGATCCCATGGCTATCCGGGTCCATGTTTATGTCATGACCCTAATTTTTTTCTTATATCACAGTTCCTAATGTTTTCATAAAAAACCCGCGGAGCTCTATGATCAGTTTCGTGAAGTGACTAATTTTACGGATGTTCACCGTTTCGTTGTCTCCAGGATCCATATGTATGAACCATGACTGTATTCTGGCTAATTATGAACATTTGTGCTCATTAATCTACATTATGAATCTTAAGCCTCTTGCCTCTTTTCCTTACAGTTTTCCTCCACCGTGGAAATGTTCATGGAAACCATTTTTCAGTTAATATTTGTTTATGGATTGCTAAGATAATTTCCTTATCATTTCAATAAACAAGTGTTTTTCTACGATACTTGGTTCTTGAGTTACGAATTTTCAAAGTATGTAAATTTCGGGAATCAGAGATGTTGAAACACAATTTTTCGGGCCGTTAGTTTTTTTTTAAACCGATAGAAGACGCCACTCTAGGGAAATATAAGAAGTATTGAAGCATGATAAAATTCATTAGAAAAATTTTCACTACCCTGATAATGATTTTTCTAATTTTCCTAACCGTGATCATTTTCGTGGTTAATTTTTTTCAGATTTTTTTTGGTAGATTGCTGAGATAATTTGCTTATCATTTGAGTTATGAATTTTCAAAGTACGTGATGCTCGGGGAAATCCGAAAACTTCAGATAAAGTTTTCTGGTAAAATTAACCACCCCGAATTCATTGAACTTTTGTTTAGTTCATATAATCATAAACTACAATTGTGGGCAAAACCCTTGACCCTTTGGCCCAAACCTGTCCGATAATAATAAAAAACCCCTGACTGCTTCCAACTCTATCCAGCAGGTGCATTCCGGATTCTGGTGGACCAAGCTTATGTGCGTCAATTTTTCTTATTCTTATTCTTATTTTTGAATTCCAAATTAAACTTAATGCTTTCACAAAATTTGTTTCCTTAGGTTTCATGTGGGCAAACACAAATATATCATCCAGCCTCGACTTTTGGAAACCTTCCTTCCGATCTTACAAGTATAAGGCGTGACCATCTTCCCTTTGTTGTTCATTATCCCTGCAGAAAACCGTAGAACATGCTGCAATTGTAGCGTGGAAGCCGCTTGCTCCTTTGACAGAAATCTGACATCATGCGCGACACGGCCATGTCGCAGTGTAAATTTATTGATCCCTATGCGCCGCGCATCTAGAGAGCGTAGCCCACCTGAGCTGTCCCGGTTCGGTCAACGCATATGGCTTATACTGTACATACATGTACTCTTCTCATAAATATGGTCAAAAAGACATAATATTTCACGAAATTAAAATTCCTTTGTAGCGTTTTGCCGACACGCATGCGGATTATTTGGACGAGACAGCGAATTATTTGCTCTGCATCGCATTGTACTTAATGCCATTTCGGGAACTGTGTGGTTCCTGTTGCTATTATGGTAGCACATAAATCCCCGTTTAATATGAGTTTATTATGGCTTCGGTTTCCTTTTATCAAGAGCTGCATCGTCGCACTTTTGAAATGCGGTTGCACTTAATCCGGGGTGAATTATGGCGTTCGCGTTTGAATCACTTTTTCCTTCACTGCTGCCGGTTTATTTGGGTCGGAACGGAGAAAAGCTGGTTTGTGAGCTGAGTTTGAAACGGTTAACAATAGAATATTTACTACAACAACAGTGCGAATAACGTTGAATGGATTCTGGTCGTGACAAATAACTTTCTAATGAAATGTTATTTACAGATGCACAACAATAACTGGTGGATGGTAGAGAATTTCAGGAATGACACAACTCAGACAGCTAAATATATGTATGCCTCTATCACGTGCCTGAGCAACTTTGCGACGGATAGTCACCGACGGCATCCGAGATGCGTTGATTCCCGCGTGACTGGCGGCAAAGCCGTGTCTTTCAGTTAAATGTTAAAAATAAATCTTCCGTGCAAATAAACTTTAATTTTGGTCTCACTTGCTGCCGTCTGAGATGCTTGCTGTCCTTTTGGAAAACAAATATGTTGCCTTGTTCGTTTATGTTTAGAAAACCGTCAACAATGGGTCAGACTACCGGTGTAACAATACATATAAGTATTTTCGTCTGGAAGTTAATTCAACGGTATTTGATTTTGCTTCGTTACAGGCTACATGCTGACACGTGTTGAGGGAAAGATTGGATCTCCGGAAAAACCATTGTCCGATCTTGGGCTGATCTCGTATCGATCGTACTGGAAGGATGTGCTGCTGGCGTACCTCTGTTCGCGACCCGGGACAACGCTCAGCATCAAGGACATATCGCAGGTAAGATTTTAAGAAGCTTTCTTAAGTAAGCTCAAAGTGCTGGTATCAGTACTTTTGTTCGATGGTAAGACATTCTAACAGCGATGAGCTACTAAATCTTTGGGAAGGCACGTTTAACGGGATATGCCTAAGCAAAGCAAAGCAGGACAATTAATATATCTTTGAATCAGGTCGAACACAAACAACAGCTCCCTGGGCATTGGCATAACCTTGAGGATTGCTTAACTGCAACCAGGTCCCAGGGCTTGTCTGTATCAGAGGCAATGTTATAATAATGATGATGATGATGGTCCCACCTCTTACCCCTACAAAGGTTTGAGCTGGACGATTTATCTTTAAGATAATTAAATATGACATTTTAACCAGGATGGCAAACAAAATCGAACTGGTTTCAGTTACAGATATAAATTCCCTCTAGAGTTTACAGTTGCTTCACAGCGATATAAATGTGGAAAAGCTCAGGTGTCCACCTCTTAGTTCGCCTTTTTGTCCACCTAAAATATTCATAAGTATTACAAGCAATCAAGAGTTAATGAACAATCAATAAAGCATCCTATTACACTAGTAACCCCGCAATCTGATGCTATCATAATTTTCAGCAATGTCAGGAATGCTCACGAACCCCCAACATTTACCAGAAAACTTACTAAAAACTCAAGTTATCTTCCAAATAAGCTTCAAAATTGCATTTTTTTTATCAAATGTTAAATTCAGTCCTCTATATCCGTAATACGCGCGCGAGGCTCAAACCTTTGTAGACTACTATTTTTTTTACTACTACTATTAAATCAAATATCAAAAATCCATCATCATCATCGTGGCGAACAAAATAGTTTTTGCAGTGCTACAATAATTATTAAAAAGTCGTCATAACAGCTATCCATACAAAATAATCCGTTAGAGATAAATTCGTCAAGATACATAATTTGTCAATTCATAAAAAAAAAATCACTGGATAACCGTTCAAAAGACAGTTTTAACGTGTGAAATGCAATGTCTCTTAAATTCTGCTAATGTTGTTGCCGTTTAATGTGTCTAGACATCGAATTGAAAACATTTATTCCTTTAAAAAATAATGAATTTTGTGAAGCACAAGTCAAGAAATGTGGTGTTCTTATTTCATCCGCGTTTCTAGTATTATATCTATGATAGTCACTTCCTCTTTCAATTCGATCACACAAATATCGAGGCAGCATACCGTTAACTACTTTAAAAATGAACACCATAGTCAAATATACAATTCTTTGCTTCACCGACAACCATTGTAAGGCGTCTAGCATCAAAGTTGAGGAAGTGAATCTATTACATCTCCCGCCAAGAGTGAAGCCAGAAGTACCAATCGAACTGTCAAGCGGGGTACCAAACAAGCAAAGTAAATAAACATTGTTGTTCCCACAGCCAGTGAACTACAAGAATTGCATTCATTACTGACAATATTTTAGTAACTTTAGATGAAAAACATTACTGTACCATTAGTACATTGTGGTATTTAAGGACTGTTCATTAATGAAAGTAGGCACCTGTTTCTCAAAGGAAAATATTTATTTTCGAACAAATTCATAAGTTTACTTTATATAAATGAACATCAACATACATATGACCGATTTCACGTGAGTTTGAATGTTTACTTCTCATTTCTGAGGAACGCTCGGACTTTTCTCTTTATACCCCCCCTTTAGATTCTGCACAACTTTCTTCTTAACTTTTCGTTGTGCTGCAGACCAAATTTTTTTTAAAGCATTCAACAGAGCTTGCTTCTCTTCCATCTTTCTTAAGATGCCGTTTAATTATTGCCCAGTATATTTCGATAGGACGCAGTTCAGAGCAGTTTTCGGGATTTTGGAATTTTTCGACAAAATCGACTTTTTCCTTCTTGAGCATTTCCAACGTAGCAGAAGCACAGTGAGCAGATGCCAGATCCGACCAAAACAATGTAGGATCCGTATGCTTTCGGTAGATGGATAGAAGCCGTTTTTTGATGCATTCTTTTCTGTAATTTTCACCATTGATTGTGCCCGTTGTGAAATACGAAGAACTCTTCAAGCCACACAGGAGCAAATGGCTTGCCACACCAAAACCTTTTTTTCCAATTTTTTTTCGGTTCGGATGTATCGCACATTATCTGGTACATCTGTCCTCTGCTTAGCGTTGAAAAAATGCGGCCCGGGAAGCGTACTGGTATCCAATTTGACGTACGTCTCGTCGTCCATCAAAATGCAAATGGTTAGGCTTTTGAAGGAGAACGTCATACAAGTTCCGTGACCGTATTTTCGAAAAAGCTTTCTGTGAATCCGTCCTTTTGGGTGCTTTTTGCTTCTTGTAGGTTATGATATTGTTACGTTTTTTTTTATATTCTGCACAGTTCCGACGCTAATGTCCTTTTTTTTGGCAATTTCACGAACGGAACACGGTTTATGCGATTTCAACAGGCGTACTGCTGCCAGCTCTTTTTTCTGGTCCGATGCTCCCTTTTTGCGCCCAGATTTTGGTAAATCTTCAAGAGACACGTTTTTCCAAAATTTTTAACAATCTTGAACACTGTAGATTTACTGCACTTCACGCTTTTTGCCAATTCTCGAAACGACCACTTTTCGGAAAACCATTTGTGCAGAATTAATCTGCGAGTTGATAAGCTGATCAGACCCATCGTTCGAAATTTCTCACTTTTTTTCAGGTGTGCTGCCAAAATAAACAATGTTTTTACACACTGAGTGAAAATTAACAATTTTTTGTTGCGTTTTAAGACTAAACTATTGATAAACAGGTGTCCACTTTCTTGAATGAACAGTCCTTATAAGTTAAACCAAGCACTTATCTGAACATTTTTCAGGTTCTATAATTGTTTTTGTCTCCCAGAAGCTCCGTTATCGACATGAAATTTTTCACTTTTGAATGAAAGTCATCCGATGCTAACGCAAAAAATCTGGTTGCCGTTTACTCTGACGAAAAATAAATTACAAACAGTGCTGATTGTTCGCAAAATTTGCTCTTGGCGGGACTCTTATTGTAACATCTACTCTGATCTGTTTCTTTACATTTTAAAAGATGCACACTGGTGATGCCAGTTGTGATGTTGCGGACCAAAAGTTTACTGGAATTTAACTACTAGGGGAAATGTTGGCTTCGGCAATACCTTAACCTATTATCGTCAGGGGGTAAGCAGAGTCCTAGAGCACTCAAATTTGGACAACTTTGAGCAACTAGCTCTGAAACACAATGTATCCACATGCGAAAATTGAGTTACCCCCTGACGATAATAGGTTAAGGTATTGCCGAAGCCAACTTTTCCCCTAGTAGTTAAATTCCAGTAAACTTTTGGTCCGCAACTCACAACTGGCATCACTAGTGTGCATCTTTCAAAATGTAAAGAAACAGATCAGAGTAGATGTTACAATAAGAGTCCCGCCAAAAGCAAATTTTGCGAACAATCAAATAATTGTGAAGTTTGGAATTATGATTTTGACTATAAGTTGGTTTTCTAAATTATTTAGTCTATTGGCTGCAAGAATTAAAAAAAAAAATTAGGTTTAAAAAGTATGGAATGTGACATCACACAGGTATTACCTTTAAATTTGGCTTGATCGAGTAGCGAAGACGATAAATCTTTGAAGAAGACAACGATATTAACTATCTGCACGCTTGATCAACATATAGTCGTGATAGAGAAATAGAACATCATCTTATTTTCATCGAAATCAGAACCATCATAAAAGATTATCTGGAAAGCCCTATAGATACCGTATTCGTGATAATGTTTGCACCATTGAGCAATGTCAAAACTTTAAAAAAAAATCAAAAATTTCGTTTTCGAGTTTTTTTTATTTATTCAAATGGGGGATGTTTCTCAAAGTCTTGAACTATGTTAATCATCGATCAAGTTTCCACTTCGGGAATAACGGCCTCCACATGCTTCCGGAATGCACGGCAGGTTCTAATAATGTAGTCTGGATCCAATTCTCTCCAGGTACGGGTCAATGTTTGTCTGAGGCTTGCTGTACTCGAGTGGCGTTTAGAACAGGTCTTGGCCTTCATGACGCGCCATATTGAGTAATCCAGTGGATTAAGATTGAGGCTGGATGGCGGCCACATATCCTTCGCCCACAACGGAAGATGTTCCTGCAACCACTTCTGAGTGCGGTTCGAGGTGTGGCACGGAGCCCCATCTTGTTGAAATACAACATTTGGCTTCCGATCGCACTGTTCTTTGATCCACGGAAGAACATACTTACTTAAAATCCCGAACATACTTACTTAAAAAACCTCCGTGTTGACCTTGTCGCCTTCTGGAATGAACACCGGGTCAATTTTTTTTGCCATCGGAAGCCACCAATCCAAACACCATAACGCTAGCAGGATGCTTGGTCAGATACACGTTCTTGTGCTCGTCGGCCACGTCTTTTACCGGAAGAGAACTAATATACCGGTCGGTTCTGGAATTTGATACGGGATCGACGGTAAACATGCTCTCGTCGGTGAACAGAATTACCGGATTTTTTCGCTTAAGGAAGTTCAAGATTTTCTTGCATCGTTCGACTCGTAGCTCCCGGATGCGGTTGGTAATCATGTGAGTTTTTTTTCCGTGCCCTCGACTTCGCCCCGCAATCTTCCTTTACTATCTTCCGTGCCGTAAAGTCACTGATCCCGTGTTCCATTGACATTTTCCTTATTGAACGCACTGGATTCACCCGAATCTTCCTTTTGATAGCAGCGATAACCCTTGGAACCCGAGCTGACCTCGGACGACCTGTGGTCACCTTCGCGGATAGTTGTCCTTTCTTTTCTCAGTCTAAAACCCTTTTTTTAAATATAGATTCACATAGGTGCATCCACATTTTGTTTGTATTATAGTAACTACAGTAAACAGACTGATTACCGCCAGGTATCAAAATTGTCAAAAAATGGTCTATGTTTCACCATGGGCGGGATTTTTTTATTCTTAATATTTTGCGCTCAAATTTACACCACACTTTGGATAACTCTTCTATTAGATGTGTTTCGAA